CGCGCATCGCCCTCCGCAGCCGCCGCTCGTTTGCCACGTCGGCCTCGCGCCCCCTCGCACGACCCCCGCCCGGCGACCTCAACCGCCTCTCGCGCATCATCACCAGGCCAAAGGACCAGGGCGCTTCCCAGGCCATGCTCTACGCAACAGAGGGTATCGACAGCGACGAGGACCTCACACGCGCAATGGTCGGCGTCGCCTCCGTCTGGTACGAGGGCAACCCGTGCAACGCCCACCTCCTCGAGGTCGGTCAGCGCGTCAAAAAGTCGGTCAACGACGCCGGCCTCACCGGATACCAGTTTGGCACCGTCGGCGTCTCGGACGGCATCTCGATGGGTACAGACGCAATGGCCTACTCGCTCCCCTCGCGCGACCTCATCGCCGACAGCGTAGAGAGCGCATGCGGCGGACACTGGCTCGACGGCTGCGTCGTCGTCCCCGGCTGCGACAAAAACATGCCCGGCGTCCTCATGGCCCTCGGCAGGCTCAACCGCCCCGGCATCATGGTCTACGGCGGCACCATCCGCCCGGGAGGCTGCGCCAGCATCGACGGCACCCTCGACATCGTCAGCGCCTTCCAGAGCTACGGACAGTACCTCGCAGACGGAGGCACCCCCGACGCCGAGCGGAAGCGCTACGACACCGTCCGCAACGCCTGCCCCGGTCCCGGCGCCTGCGGCGGCATGTACACGGCCAACACGATGGCGTCGTGCTCCGAGGCCCTCGGCATGACGCTGCCCGGCAGCTCCTCGTTCCCGGCAGAGTACCCCGAGAAGCTGGCCGAGTGCGACAGCGTCGGCGCCGCCATGCGCCACCTCCTCGAAATCGACCTCAAGCCGCGCGACATCATGACAAAGTCGGCCTTTGACGACGCCATCGCCCTCACCATGGTCCTCGGCGGCTCCACCAACGCCGTGCTCCACCTCATCGCCATCGCCCACTCGGTCGGCATCGAGCTCACCATCGACGACTTCCAGCGCATCAGCGACACGACGCCCTTCCTCGCCGACCTCAAGCCCTCTGGCAAGTACGTCATGGAGGACGTCCAGAAGCACCTCGGCGGCATCCCCACCGTCATCCAGTACTGCATCGAGCAGGGCCTCATGAAGGGCGAGCACCTCACCGTCACCGGCCGCACCCTCGCCGAAAACTGCGACCGCTGGACCCACGAGCGCGGCAAGCTGCCCGCCAACCAGGACGTGCTGCGCACCGTCGACAAGCCGCTCAAGTCGACGGGACACCTGCGCATCCTCAAGGGCAACCTCGCCCCCGGCGGCGCCGTCGCCAAGATCACGGGCAAGGAAGGGCTCCACTTTACCGGCAAGGCGCGCGTCTTCGACACCGAGGACGACATGGTGCACGCCGTCGAGACGGGCAGCATCAAGAAGGGAGAGAAGACCGTCATCGTGCTCAGGTACAAGGGCCCCAAGGGCGGTCCGGGCATGCCCGAGATGCTCAAGCCCACCAGCCTCATCATGGGCGCCGGCCTGGGCCAGGACGTTGCCTGCCTCACCGACGGCAGGTTCAGCGGCGGGTGAGTGGGCTATTCGGCCGGCCAGCTGTTGATGGGTCCCAGCACAGAGGCCATCCCTGCTGACACTGTCCGTCGATCCCTTTCTCGCTCTTTCCTCTGCCTTGGCCCCGACCTTGCCGCTTCTCCCCTTGGCACTGTCCCCATCGCTCCGCCGCTCCGCCGCCCCGTCCCCGCGCTCTGCAGCTCGCACGGCTTCGTCATCGGCCACGTCGTTCCCGAGGCGCAGGTGGGCGGCCCGATCGGTCTGGTGCGCGATGGCGATACGATTACGATTGATGCCGAGAAAAACACGCTCGAGCTCGTCGGCGTCTCCGAGGCCGACCTGGCGCAGCGCCGCCAGAGCTGGACGCCGCTCGAGATCAAGCCCAAGTCCGGACACCTGCTCAAGTTTGTGCGCAACGTCTCGGACGCCTCTTCTGGGTGAGTCGCGTCGAGTGGTGCACCCCTGTCGTCGTCGTCGTCGTCGTCGTTTGGAGCTTGAGAAGAGAGAATATGGGTGAGGGAGGCGGGCGAAAGTTGACTGACCCTCCTGGAATCCTGCTTTATCGTTCCGGTTCGACAATGGTTTGACAGGTGCGTGACGGACCTCTAGATTGCGACGCGCAGCGGATGTGGATTTCTGCATTGGTACTCGCTGCTTTTGCAGCTCCAAGTTTGTCGATGCAGCACCGACGTCGGACGTCGTCTCTGTTTCTGTCTGACCCGTTGCATCGCATCGTACCGCATCGCACCACTTCGTGGAGGGGCGGGTTGCTACGGACAGACAGCTGAGATTGCAGGCACGCGAGTGCGAGGGGAAGAGGAAGGGAACGAGGAGAGGAGAGGAGAAAGGAGTGCGAGATGTGACGCGGCGAGGCTTGTGGGGGGAATAAGCTCAGAGGAGCTCTTTGCGATCGCGTCACGGCCAACAAGAGACGAGCCGGGCGATGAGGATTCGAAGGGGCGCAGCAGGGGAGGAAGAGAGGAGGTCAGCATCACTCTTCGGTACCTGTACGTCCAGAGAGAGGCGGCAAAGGACGAGGAGAGGGGGAGTGAGAGGGTGGACGGGGACGGGGACGGGGACGGGGACGTACCGAAGAGAACATCCGGCACGACGCCGTCGTACCTGTCGGGGACGGTGGATTGCCACTGTGCGATGGTGAGATCCAACACTGTCCTCGCCGCCCCATCCTCGATTGTGTATCAGCTTCTGTCGACTTCTGGGGCGACGAAGAAGGGGGCGCAGGGACGTACCGAGCTGGGAACGCGTGTTGAAATCGACGACTTGGGCCTGATGCTCTTTTCCCTGTCGACAGGAGCGTGGTGACGCGAAACCCGGGGCGCGACGTGGGGTTGGGGGTTTATCAGTCGTCGTGGCAAGATGGTGGGGAAGGTGGGAAGGGGGGGCGGACGTACGTCGATGTGGTATCGAATCGTCTTGCCGCATGACGCCTGTCGAATCATCATCGCACCAGAGGAGAGGAGAGAGGGGGGAGAGGAGGGTGAGCGAAGACGATGACGGTGATGGATAGAAGCGAGCGCGGTCCGGTACGCACCTGACCGAAGTGCTCGGGCACAGCTACCCCCATTTCGCCCCGGTCCACGTGCGGCTTACATGCCGACTGTCGGTCGGTCGTTGCATCGTCCGAGCGGGTGCCACAGAGAGAAGGGAGGGGATGAATGGGTCAGCATTGGCCCTATCTCTCCTCTCTTCCGACAGCACAGCAGAAGGCAAGAGGCGGGACGGCGAAAAAGTGCGGGGAGCGACGTACGGGACCGGCGGGAGTATAGTGCGTGATCAGGGCTTTACCGCTCTTGCCTCCCCCTTCCCCTCCTTGTCCGTTGCTGCCGCCGTGGTGGTGACGCGAAGACCGTTTCGACATCGTCTTGGCGTCCACCTCCGTCCTCGCCGCCGTGAAAAGGACGAGGAGCAGGAGCAGGGAGAAGGCGCCGAGCGCGCGGGTACGTCTCGTGATCGTGGACGACGGCGACGACATGGTCGGTGGCGAGGAGGTGGGGTGTTGGTGAGGGGGTAAGGAAGGATGGGCTCGGATGGTTGTTTATGTATGTACACCGCAACGACGGCGCCCCCACCTCATCCTCTGGCAGGGATCGTCCTCGCTTGGCTTGGCTTGGCTTGTCGATCAGCTGTTGAGGCCGCGGCATCAGGCGACGACAACCCGCACCCCCACCGCATTGAGCTGACCGTACGTCCGGTTCGATCAACCCACACGGTCCGAACGAAGCCGAGCCAGCCTTTCGTTCCCATTGCATTGCATTGCAGTGAATTGCGTTTGTTGATGAAAGGCAGAAGAAAGGAATAGCCTCGGAATGCTGACGATGCACGAACGAGGTCTGACCCCTCGTACGTCGCGTCCAGCTCCTCGAGTCCAGTCCCTCTGTCCCTGTGCTGGCCGCGGATCGACGGCA